ACAACGCCGAAAAAAACCGGGGGTTTTCGTTCTTTTTAGCATACTGCAGGAAAAAAATTATAGTTTTAATAGCTTGTTTCGATTGTAAAGGTAAAAATACATATAAAAATATAAATTATCATTAATTTAGATGTCTGTAGTTAAGGTTATGAGTTATCCATCTCACTACAAAACCTAATTTGTTTATTTTATTAATATTTTTTTTTATTTTAAAAAAAACTAATATTATTACATCTTATGGCAGTATAAATAAATTTTTTATTTTCTATGTTACACTTATTTTTTTTTGGTTTGTTCCTATGCCCATACAATTTATTGTTAAGTGGGTGGAGGTGGCTTCAGAAAAATACCAAAAAGCAGTTTTTTCGATTTTTTAGGCATTTTTCCACGTTGAAAATGATAATAATCCCTATGCCATTCGAAAGAACGGTAAAAAAACCCATAAAAAAAACATTGCTTTAAAGTTGGCCAAAAATTTCCGACATAACCTAAAATATTACTGAATATTTCAAATATTTTTCCTTGGCTCAATTTTCAAGCTAAAAATCTGAAAAAAATCAGGTAGTATTGTATTATTAAACTACGCTTTCATGAATTTTTTCAGATTTTTTGCAGCAATACAGCGTCTAAAAAAATTTTTTTTTCTTTTAAATACGTTTTTCCATAGCGAACCCCCAGAGGCACCTAAGGACTTGAAAGTTTAACCGAGTGAGTTTTTTAATTATGTCCTTTCGAATGGCCAGGCCCAAAACTAAATCGAGCATGGTGCAATTTTGAACATCTTATCCCGCTATAGCCTTTAAAAGACAACTATATTAACAATATTTAAGCTCCAAATCATTACAAAACAAAATAAAATATAAAGAAAAACAAGCAGACGTACGAAGGAAAATCTCTAAGAAGAACTGGTCTTTTGAAAGAAACTGGCAACGAATAAATACTTATTTAAGGAGGAACCAGAAGCACGAAAACTGGACACTGATAAAAAATTGAGAAAAGAAAAGAATAAAGAAGTAATAAAGAATTAATAATAAATAAGTAATATAAAACCTGAAGACTGGGAAGAGTATTTCAAAGAACTTTTGGTAGAGAATAGATTCGAATTTCAAGAACATAGAAATCAAAACCAAGTGCATAAGGATTACAAGGTTACATCCTTATAACAATTTTCTGTGGCAAAAAGATTCTTTGTCTAATGCCACTTCTCTCTTCATACACAGACACACACAACACAAGAATTAATAAATCTTTGCAAACTATGACCCTCGTACATGATTAGAAGATATGCTTTCATTTCTACACTTCGTTTCTAAACAAATTTGGGAATTTTTAAATCTTTTTTTTATTAGTATTTAGTATTAGTATTTTTTATATTTTTAATGATAAAATTATGACGTTATATCATTTTATTCTTAGTTTTGAAATGGTTTACTGTTATTAAAAAAATAGCACAAGAATTTGCATGATATGTTACTTTGCCAAAATATTTACTTACAAACTCTTTTCAAGAGATATAAATATTATAACATGGAAGTTCCAATCACATACGGAGGTCACGATTACGATAAGAGTAATTAAATATAGAGAAACGTGTATAGCAGAATATTTTTATGATCATTTCTTAAAAATGTTGATAATCATGGAATAAATTGGAAAACATAGATAAAACGTGATACAACGCCAATATAGAAACTTATAGAAGCGATAGAGAAAGGCAACTGTAAACATGATGACGGCCAACGTCTGAATACGGACACGACACCTAAAGAAGAAGATAGAAGCTTCTCTCCAATAAGATATTTAGCAGCCATAACAAAGCATTTTGTGATGTTATATTATCATATCATCTTTGAGTTGTTTTAATAAGAACAAACTATTAATTATGCTTATCCACAGGTATTTAGTTCTTTACCACACAAATATTACAACTAAGAATTATTATGCAGCTGACTTATAAAATGCGATTATCTCGAAAACGGTTGAATTTTAAAGTTATTAACAAGTTTACCTTTTTTAACACAAATAGCGCTAAATAAAGAGCAAAATAGTTATGCAAGTGCAAATTTATGCCACATATGTGGCGTCATCTATCAGCTACATCAAAGTAGGTATAAAATTATAATTTCACCTACTAACAAGCATCCAATTATAAATGTTTATCCATACATATTTACAAACGTGAGAGTTATAGCGAAAAATAAATAAATAACTTAAGGACTACACTGTCAAATCCCTAACCGATGCGAAATCATTATGGCAGGTGATTTTAACAGTAGAGTAGGCCAAGAAGAAAACAGTGCAGTAGTAGGACGACATGGAAAACCTACAAGAAATAATAATGGCGAAAGACTGCTAGATCTGTGCGAACAATACAATTTAAGAATCACAAACACCTTCTATGCACACAAAGATATACACAAATATACCTGGAAACACCGCTCTAGAGACCAGAAAATCCATCATCGACTATATTATAATGAGACAAAAACCAACACTAACAGTTTTAGACGTTAGGGTAAAGAGAGGAGCTGACTGTGGAAGTGATCATTACCTAGTAATCGGAAATATGACCATTACCGAGATTGGGAAAATACGAAACAGCAAATGTAAATAAGAACGTAACAACAAATAAAGAGCACTATAATCTACAAAGTCTAGAAGATAACAGCGTGCAGTATTTTATACCAAAGAAGGTTAGATGGAAAACTGGTAATAGAAAATAGAACAATAGAAGAAGAATACAAGCACATAGTACACAGTATTAAAAAAGCAGCAGAAGAGGCAATAGGTACTCAAAGACGCGCAAAACAAAAACCATATTGGTGGGATGAGGGAATAGATAAAATGATAAAGGAGAAAAAAGAAACATACCTAACATATATAGATAAAAAAGACGACCCCTTTAAAGAAATATATAAAAACCTAAATAAACTGGTGAAGACGGAAGTAACAAAAAGGAAAAATAGATCTTGGGAAAAGAAATGCGAATACATAGAACAAATGATTGGAGGATCGAAAAGTTCAGAAGCCTGGAGAAATTAGATTTAAGTAACATAACAGAAAAAGACTGGGTAGACTACTTTGAAACAGTTACTACAAGAAGGACGACAAAATTTTCAATACGAAAATGCAAACAGAGACATACGATCAGAAGTCATTGAATTGAACATGACAAATGTCGTAGAAGCGATAAGATCTTTTAAACTTAAAAAAGCGCCAGGCCCAGGAAACATCTCACCAGAATTTATTAAATACGGCTCAGCTAAACTGTGGGAAATGCTCAAAGATCTGTTCCAACGATGCCTGAATGGAGAAGAGACCCCGTTAGAATGGCGTGAGGCCTATATAACCCCAATATACAAAAAAGGAGCACGAAACAATGTCAGAAACTATAGAGGAATTGCTTTCATCCCTACTATAGGACGACTGTACTCCCAAATACTTAGAAACCTCATAGAAGAAGACATTCGTATGAAATAACCAGAAGAACAATGCGGATTCAGAGCTGGAAGATCGACTATAGATAATCTATTTACACTTAAAATATTAATCGAAAAACGACAACAAAGAAACACATATAGCCCTGATAGATCTTGAAAAGGCATATGATAATGTGCCGATAAATAGTTTATGGAGTGAAATGCAAAACATGAAAATAAAACCTTCGTTAATAATAGCAACTCAAAAGTGGTATGTAAACAACACCGCATCAATTAAAATAGGTGGCAAACTTAGTGAGAAATTCAACATTACGAAGGGGCTACGACAAGGATGTTGTTTATCACCTACGCTGTTTAAAATATATCTGGATCGATCTCTACAAAAGTGGCAAAGACAAGCAAGAAATATGGGAATACAAATAGATGAGGATATTCTCTATACACTATTCTTCGCTGATGAACAACTGGTGGTAGCAGAAGATATAGACGACCTCAGCTATATGGTTAGGAAACTATAAACAGCGTACGAAGAATGTGGACTGACAATGAACTTACAAAAATGCGAATATCTCTCAGTGGGGAAAAATACAGTCGAAGACCTGACATTGGAGAGTGACAAAATCAAAGGAACAAATAGAGTAAAATACCTAGGAGCAGTGTTTACAAAAGACGGAAATAGCCATGAAGAAATAAATACAAGAATAAACAAAGGCAGAAACATTACCAAATGCCTAAACTCCATTCTCTGGGATAAAAAAATCACAAGAACGACGAAAAAACGAATATATAAGACGTTGGTTGAGCCGGTGGTAACATACGGAGCAGAGATATGGGACACTAGTAAAAGAAACAGGAAAAAAATTACAAGCTACCGAGATGGATTTTATGAGAAGAAGCTGTAGATTGACAAGGATGGACAGAATCCGCAATGAAGAAATAAAACGTAGAATGGAGCAAGAAAAAGACATTATAAATGAAGTCCAGAAAAAACAAACTAACTTGGTTCGGTCATGTCCACAGAATGGCAGACGAGAGGTGGCCAAAGAAAATATTAAAATGGATCCCAACCGAAAGAAAGAAAAAAAGGCGTCCAAGAAGAAGCTGGCGAGATGACGTGAATGAAGCGATGGAAGGAAGACAGCTAAATGAAGCCGACACCCGAGATAGGAAACGATGGAAACTAGGGACAGGAAAACAACGACAGTTGGAAAACAACCTGTAATATATATATTATATATATATATATATATATATATATATATATATATATATATATATATATATATATATATATATATATATATATTTAACAGAAAATGGTTGACTTCAATTAGTCCAACCGTAAATATTATTAATTTTATCTGACTTGGCCCATTGTTAAGACCTTGTACCTCAGGTAAATCATTGTTACCTGAAATAGGGCCTTTTATACTATTATCGGTTAACCCAGGATGTTTATAGTCGGCAATAATTGAAGTCAACCATTTACTGCTAAACAAACTTTTAGTTTTTCTTATCTTAGTTGACTTACATTATTTAAAAAAAAAATTAAAAACTTACCTCAATTCGCATAGGTATCCATTTTAAGTCTTTGATGCGATTATTTGATAAAATTAATTCCGTAACATTTTCATATCCCATAGTAGAATTAAGGCCACCTTCAATGAAGTTGTTATCCAAATCAAGTTTGATTTTGTTTTCCGGAATTGTTAATCTTGGGAAATATGTCAAATTTCTATTTGAACAATTGACATGAACAAAATCTGAATGTGGATTCCATAAGCAGAAACACTCCTTCGGACATATTATGCTAGACACCACACACGATATATCATCTGGTTTAAGTTCAGCCACCAGTATATCTTCATACATGGTAGATTTATCACAAACAATTCCATTTATTTCGAGATCTACTCGTGAGCGGACCACTAAAACAATTATTATTTATTAATTACATGATATATGTAGAAATGTTGAATTTGGTGAATACAAATAGCTTCTATTTTTAGACTTATTTAACAGAAAATGTCTTAAGAAAAAGGTCTATAACAAAAATATAACTAAATAAATATTTTAAAAAATTAAATTTTATTCCAATAAAAATAAGAATACTATAGAACTATAAAGTGCATTAGCGTAATTAAGAGTGTCTTTTCTATTATTATTGTAACGAAATAGCCCACCTCTAATGCGTGGTACGTATCACAATTCTTAAAAGGATGAATCTAGAATATTCAATTGTTGGCGTTCTCAATAGCGTCTGTCTTAGATGCGCTTCAGACGGGAAGAATGGAGATGGACTACTCCAGATGATTGTAGTGATATATATATATATATATATATATATATATATATATATATATATATATATTATATATATATATATATAAATAAATAAATATATATATATATATATATATATATATATATATATATAATATATATATATAAAAATATCAAGGACAGTAACGGGTTACTGGTAAACAACAGACAGTTGAAGGTAACTGGGAACGACCCAATACTAAGGAAGCAATAAAAAACAGGTGCTTCAAAGTGAGTGTCTTTTATTAGTAGTCAAGCTTTCGCCACATAATTTTGGGCTTCATCAGAACTTGCTGTAATGGAAAAATATTCTTTACAATCATCGTAATTAATGATGTTATTTTTAATATTACCTTAACGTTGACACTATTTCTTAGTGTAAATTATTGCAGATGTGGAACTACACATTGTTTTCCAAATACAAACCAAAACGCATCTCCTACTTAGAGGAAGACGGCAAACAAAGCTTCAATTAAATAATTATTAAATTTGTTATATTTTAATCACCATGTGGCCGGTATTAGAGAGTTATCAAGTGAAAGAGTGAGAATACGGTAACGTTATTTTGACAGCGGAGCATGCGCAATATGAAATGTGAATAACGTAAATGATTTTAACGTTTACGGGCTCCGTTACCGTACGTCGAATAACGGGTTTGATATACGGTAACGTTAGCAGCGAATCGCATCAATTCGTCAAGACTCGGAACTCGCAGATTACAGTCTCTGTTCTGTAATTTTATTTCTGTTCATTATTTAACATGTGTTTTCCGTTTTCTTGGTTAAGCATCTGCGGGAGAAATAAAACATTTTATTATATTTCATTATATTTATCAATTATAAACACAGAAGTAGTAAAAAAGACAAAAAAGGCTGCGTTTTACAAGCACTGATAACCTTTTACTAGTAAAAGAAGTGCGAGGAATCAACCCTCTGGAATGCCCTGTTTTTCAAACCGAAAATATGAAAAATGTTTGGCTTGCTCAGGCTCTAAGCTATCAAAATTGAATACAGAATGTACATTTTGTATGTTATTATTTAAAATATGATTTTATGTTGATGTTTACAAGATGATTTAGTATTAAATCTTCTATAACTTTGTCATTTGCTTCAACTAATATTGCTTGTTCTAAAATGTCTTCCATATTTCTGTAGAAAAAAATTTGAAACGCAAAATGTACAAAATAAGACAAAATATTACCTTGGATGAAAGAAAACATAAAAAAAATAATTATTTTGCTTTCAAATACGATATTTGTCTGACAGCTGCCAACTAATAACGTGAAGCACCAATTCCACCATTTGATAACTCTAAAATTACATATCCGTTAAAACTTTATACCGTAAAAAATACCGTCTACGTGTCAAAATAACGGAAGGATAAAATTTTACTTGATAACTCTCTATTATTTTTGACAAGACAATTGTTAATTAAGTCATGTGTCATATCTACTGTCACTTATCGATACGGCACCTGTCTTAATTACTTCTTCTTTTTGTTGGGTATAAGACACTACCTGATGGATATAAAAATAAAAATAAAAGTTGGAACTATCAGCATCATGATACACTTAGTTCTCTAACAGAAGGTATGTAATACATACATCTTAGCGGAGTGTTGACCACTATATACAACACTAAATACAAACTGAATGAATTTTAAACATGATATGCTTATATAGAACGGGAACTATATACACATGTATGTGTGTGTGCATATGTATATATGTGTATATGTGTATATGGATGTATATATGTGTGTATACATATATTCAATTTTAATTGTGATTTTAAACGAAATTCATTATTCAGTCACAATAATGTGACTGAAGAAAGGTAGTGTCTTATACCCAACAAAAAGAAGAAGTAATTAAGACAGGTGCCGTATCGATAAGTGACAGTCGATATGACACATGACTTAATTAACAATTGTCTTGTCAAAAATAATACCGGCCACATGGTGATTAAAATATAACAAATTTAATAATTATTTAATTAAGCTTTGTTTGCCGTCTTCCTCTAAGTAGGAGATGCGTTTTGGTTTGTATTTGGAAAACAATGTGTAGTTCCACATCTGCAATAATTTACACTGAGAAATAGTGTCAACGTTAAGGTAATATTAAAAATAACATCTTTAATTACGATGATTGTAAAGAATGTTTTTCCATTACAGCAAGTTCTGATGAAGCCCAAAATTATGTGGCGAAAGCTTGACTACTAATAAAAGACACTCACTTTGAAGCACCTGTTTTTTATTGCTTCCTTAGTATTGGGTCGTTCCCAGTTACCTTCAACTGTCTGTTGTTTACCAGTAACCCGTTACTGTCCTTGATATTTTTTATATATATATATATATATATATATATATATATATATATATATATATATATATATATATATATATATATATATATATATATTTATCAAATTATTCTCGACCGTACTGTGTTAAATATTATTTGTAGTCTCAGCAATTGGTCTGTGTGAAATAAAACTCTATTTGTTATTTCTCAATATTTCGTCACGATTTTGTGACTTCTTCAGGAGAAAACTGTAAATTTATTATAATTAATATATGTAAACAAAATGAATATTTCAATACTTACAACTTAAGATTGTAAGTATTGAAATATTCTTAAATAAATAATCTTAAGTTGTAAGTATTGAAATATTCATTTTGTTTACATATAATAATTATAATAAATTTACAGTTTTCTCCTGAAGAAGTCACAAAATCGTGACGAAATATTGAGAAATAACAAATAGAGTTTTATTTCACACAGACCAATTGCTGAGACTACAAATAATATATATATATATATATATATATATATATATATATATATATATATATATATATGCAGCGCTGTTATGAATTAATTTTAGTTGATAAGATATTATCATGCTGTAAGCTTATAAATAAATATATTTGCATAAATTAGAACCGCTCGTTTTATTGAAACACGCTACAGGTGGTGTCGCGGTGTGAGATAATTGATTTATTAAAAAATAAATTCAGCAGTGACTTAAAGACTTTTGAACTTTTAAATATATTGTTCGTCGGGAACATCCGCCTAGTTCGGTAGTGACTTTTGTTAAGAAAAGAGAAAATTTAAAAAGTACGTGTGTGCCTGACCAAAGATGCGAATTGCAGAACTATCAGTAAAACAGTTACGTGAACAATTAAAAGAACAGGATGAAGACTGCAGAGGGTCCAAGAAGATTCTTCAAGAACGACTGAAGAATCTTCTCAACAAGAATGGAGATGACCCAGATAAATTCCATTTTCAATCATCAGAAGAAGTAGTTCTAACAAAGATCGAAAAAATTTCTAGAAAGCATGATGAGAATATTTCCAAAAGATTAGATGAAATGTCTTAAATTATTAAAGACGACGAAAAATTCGAAAATGTTTCTAGAAAATTCGACGAGACTTCTTAAATAATTAATGAAGTATGTAGCCAGAACAATGAGAAATTTTAGAGGTTTCTAGAACATCCGATAAGATACAGAAAAATGTAAACGACGTCGAGGAGAAGATTAAACAATTAGAGACCCTGATAACCAATACAAAAGTGCTATCACCGAGAGACGAAACGACACATCATATGAGATTTAAATTGCCACCATTTGATAGAAAGTCTACTTGGTCCATATACCTTAGACAATTTGAAGATATTGAACAATCATTGGATAGAACACGAAAATTATGTTTCGTTGATTTACGAGGTTGATTTACTGCTTTACGAGGTGATATCCTAAGATCGATTGCTAAGGGTCAAGAAAAATGTTACCAGACCTTGTTCACTCGACTAGATAAACGTTACGGAGATGCCCATCTACAACAAGTCTACAAGGCCTAAGTAAGAAGTAGAATTCAACGAGCAAGTGAAAATTTGCAATAGTTTGAAGCAGATGTTGCTTGTATAGTGCGGTTGTCTTATCTGGAGGTGCCAGACAACATTTTGAAAGAAATCGCTGTGGATACCTTCGTCAATGGGTTGAAAGAAAGTGAAATACAGAATGCTTTACGTATGACTAGCAAGACCAAAAGTTCTAGATGAACCGCTCGCTATTGCCATAGGAACACGAAACAGCTAGGAGTTATAGAGTACGAATCTCTGAAAAGAGCGACGAACAAAACGATAAACTTATGGACGAAATCGTAATGCTGATGCTCAGTTAAGATGGCCATGCAGTGCAAATTGTAATCACTGTATTAAATTAGAGGAACGACTTTGTCCCGTGAGATGAACCACCGTCATTAACGATCAATAGCAGCCTCTACAGCTATAAGATGCCCGAGCAGATGACCCATGTATAAGAAGAGTATTGGATTGGACGCGTGGAAGTGAAAGATCTACTTGGCAAGACATTAGTGCATGTAATAGAGAAATCAAGTCTTATTGGAGCCAATGGAATTGCCTAGTACTAAAAGATCATATTCTATATAGAACCTTTGAGAACGATGATGGTGCAGAATCTAAGCTTCAGTTGATTGTACCTAAAAGTAAAGTGTCAGAAGTATTGCGTCAGTTGCATGACGGTGCATCAGGTGGACACTTTGGTATTACGAAGACCGTGCAAAAGGTTCGAGAACGGTTCTATTGGGTGAACTGTAAAGATAATGTAAGAAGATGGTGCCGGAAATGTGAACTGTGTACAACCAGTAATTGTCCAGTTGGTAAAAAGAGGGCACCTATGAAACAGTACAATGTTGGTAGTCCTATGGAGCAGAGTAGAAATCGAGATTGTAGGTAAATCTCCAGAAACGGATGATGGAAATAAATATATCCTGGTAGCCATTTATTATTTTACGAAATATACTGAGGCATTATTATTTAGAAACTATTTTTGGAAATAAAGTAATTTCTTCTCGTGGTACGATCAAGTGGCCTTCCAGAACACCAGACTTTTCTCCAAATGGTTTTTGTCTTTGGCGATATTTGAAATCAAGGGTCTATCAACATCGTTTTAAAAGAGCCCGATATTTAGCGGAATTGAGGGGAGAAATAATTCATCTTTGTGGGAGCATTAGACCGGAATTGCTCAGAGATATGGGAGTAGCTCTGTACAACAGATTCTGTTTCTGTTCTGCAGAAAGGTGGGATATTTGAATCTCTATTAAATTAAACCATGAAACAGTACAATGTTGGTAGTCCTATGGAGTAGAGTACAAATCGACATTGCAGGTCTATCTCCAGAAACGGATGATGGTAATAAATATATCCTGGTAGCCATGGATTATTTTACGAAATATTTTGAGGCATTATTATTTAGAAACCATTTTTTGGAAATTAATTTCTTCTCCTGGTACGATCGAGTTGCCTTCCAGAACACCAGACTTTTTTCCAAATGATTTTTTTCTTTGGGGATATTTGAACTCAAGAGTCTATCAACATCGTTTTAAAAGAGCCCGATATTTAGCGAAATTGAGGGGAGAAATAATTCATCTTTGTGGGAGCATTAGACCGGAATTGCTCAGAGATATGAGAGTAGCTCTGTACAACAGATTCTGTTTCTGTACTGCAGAAAGGTGGGATTTTTGAACCTCTATTAAATTAAATTTTTGTTTTTGAATATTATTATTATTATTTTATTTTTGGAATTGTTTTTATTTTTATGTTTAGCAATCTACTTTGTTTTTTTTAGTTAAATAATATTTTTAATTCCATATCTATGTAAAAATGTATGTTTTTGCCGAATTGACATGCACTCTAGCTCTTCCGCCTTGGACCTGGTCTAATGCTTCTCTGAATATAGACTCCGAGTACAAATTAAACAGTAGCGGTGATAAGACGTGACCCTGTCTCACTCATATGTTTAGAATATCGTATATCACAATACCACGTTAGATAACGAAATTATATTCAATGAACATGTCTAAGTAAAAGGTAACGCGTGTGCATGTATGTCTTATGCAGTTAGCAATTTTAATCTTAATAAGATCGTAATTATCAGGTATAGAAATTTTCAAATATAGCAATCGCAAGTACTAATTACTGCCTGATTGTGGTTTCCACTTCTGAGCTGTTTAAAAAAAATGCAAATATTTTTATACGAGGATAAAATTATTAGATTATATTTTATATGTAAATGCATGTTTATGGAAAAAATCCCCAAGGTTGCGAATGTATCTGATTAATTTTTTTAATCTATAAAAGTTAGTTGGAGAATGTAGACACTTTAAATAAGTCATTAAATAAACCAACTACAATCCCAGAAACATTTTAAACAAAAAGAGCACAAATACCAATGACCCATAGGAAATTAAAAGGCATTTTTTAGAGTATAGAGATACAAATGCATTTACTGTTTTAGGATGCATCTTGAATATTTAAAATTTCATTGATTCGTTAAAGAAATTAACAGGTTTTAATTTTCTAATGGCTGGAACAATTTTAAGAAAAATTTCGACATCCTCTTCGATGTCTTCTTCAGGGCTTCCGAAGTCTCAGTCTCCCGAGCCCCCAGACAATACTACATTGATCACTATCCAATCCATTACTAAGTAAGTAATATATATACCAGTGGAATTATTATTGGATAGACAGTGAACAACAGTAAAACGATATAAATTTGATATTACGAGTATTTCGCGACATAATTAGAAGCCATATCAGTTTTTTGTTTTAATTCTTAGTAGTAAAATTATACCAACCTGGATCCATGTCATTTTTGTAATAGCGAACTAAACTGTAGACTGAGCAGTCACACAATATAGGATTCTTCCTCAAATCTACTTTTATTTGAAGGTACTTATTATTGGGAGAATATTTTTCAATATACTTATATTGCAATTCCATTGCTCCAAAATCTACTTCTTCAATTTTGTTGTTTTTTAAATCAACAAAACTTAGCGCTTGTCTGGTGTTCACGACAATATCTTCAACCTAAAAACGAAGAAATTAACTTTAATAATTAAATAAGTGTCAAATGGATTTCGAAATGGAACTAGAATACGATAGAGGTATTCGATATGAATGCGGTAATGCAAAGATAGATGGATTTGAATCAAGATATGTATACACACACTTTATTGATTTTGAGAAAGTATTTGATAAGGTTCGGTATGACACACTTATTGACAACTTAACAAAAAGGTATTAACCAACATGATGTTAGAATCATGTCGCATTTATATTTGAAAAAAAAAAGCCAAAGTACAAATAGATAATGGACTATCAGAACAGGTAAAGAAAGATAAAAAGAAAGAATCCGGTAATAAGAGAAAGATAAATAAAAATGAAATACCATCATTCTGATTTCTGTGAAAACAACAATGCTCCATAGAAATCAAATCAAAAGCCTTCTTATACCATATGAGCGAAACTGTAGATATAAGTGGAGAAATAGACCAGCATGGGCGAACAAAAACTAACTAAGGAATAAGTATGTCTCATCAGCGATTGACAAAGTACCACACATGAATATACCTCGTAAAAAACGAGACCCCATGTTCATTAAAGAGGTCACCACAACCATATCACAACCCGAAAACTGACCCACTTACCAAAAAGTTAACGCTAGAACATAGATTAATTAGTCTGATGAGACATGTACTTAAAAGTACTCCTTAATATCATTCAATCGAGCATATACATCAAATTAGAAGAACACCTAAGTGAAGTTCAATTTGGGTTCAGAGCAGATCTCGGAATAAGCGAAACACTTTTCAGTTTGCAAGTTTTAACATATAGGGCTAGGCATGTCAACTGCGATGTGTTTGCATGTTTCATCGATTTTGAGCAGGCTTGCGATAAAGTACCACACGGAAAACTAATTGATATTCTATAATATCAGGAATCGATGGTAAATTAAACGTCGATTAAACTGTTATTTCCAAAAAAAAGCAACAGTGCGGTTCGAAAATGGACTGTCAAGTCGAAAAAAGAGTTCTACAGGGATACATACTGTCACCAGCACTGTTCAAAATATACTCTGAAAACTTCTTTACAAGCTCGACGAACCAGAAGATATTATAGTAAATGGCCAACTTATACGTCCTAAAACTAAATTGTAAAAAGACAACAATAATGATCATTAGAAAGAACACCAACATAAACGCTCAAATTATAATAACCTTTGTTAGTTTAATAAAATTTGTTATAATACACTGGATTGCAGAAAATCATACACCCAGAAAACTTCAATCGCTGCAGAGAAAAGTCAACGCAAAGAGAAACAGGCATCAAAAATAAGTCCACCTCATACTAGAATGCGAATAAGTGAATAATATTTTTGTTTAAAAAAATGTTTATTTTGTAGCAATGAAGCGAGTTACTGTGTTCTCTAGCTTATACCAATTGCCAAGGTCAAGTCTTGCTCAAATGTCCAGTTGAGTACAATAGAGGAAGATTCCTGCGATTTTAATGAAAAGACCTATGACTCAGCCACATTTGAACAATTTATGAACGCCCAGCAAGAGAAAGAAGATGAAATCGAAGAAGACAGTGGACTTTTAAGAGTATGAATCTGATTAAAATATCTACAAAAATCAAAACACTACTTAACCCAACAATCAATATCAATAATAATGTAATATCTAGAACTGGACGGTATTGTTCCATTAAATTATTATATGTGCCCTGAACGAAACAAAAAAGAAAGGAAAGGAAGTGCCAATAGAAATAAATTTATATTCCTGTACAGCGGAGTAGATAAAAGCAAACGAGCTCAGGTAGGAGTAGGCCTCTTAATGCACAATAAATATAGTAACAATATTCAAGAAATAAGATACATCAACGAACACATGATGTTGGTTTGCCTTAAACTTCACCAGACGATACTTAATATTATCCCCGTACATGCACCGGATAACAACAAAAACAAGGAAGACAAAGATGCTTTTTATGGACAGCTCCAAGATCCACTGGGCACCACAATAGCCGGTAGTGAAACAATAATTCCCGGCGACCTAAACACCAGAGTAGGCGACATACCTGTGGCTGGAGTTACACAAAGATTTAACGAAGAAAAGCTCAACGACAACAGAGAAAGATTTCTAGAACTTTTTTTAATGAATAACCTCAGAATTAACAGCACATACTTTGACCAGCCATTACAACATCAGATCACCTGGTCAGATACAAGAGGACGTAACTATATGATTGACTACATTCTAACAAACAGACAAATACACCCTAAGAATATAATGCATGTGCGCTCTCTATCTTCCGCCAATGTAGGATCCGACCATGGCCTGGTACTAGGAAAAATAAATATAGCAATCACCACACAAGGCAAGCGAAATACAAAAGTAGAAGAAAAGTTAAGCATAGAAAGCTTAGAACAAGAAGGGACACAACTTGTATAGAGAGAGACTAACAGAAAAGCTAAATAGCCATAACCTAGAGACTAAAAAGAATGTAGAAGAAACCTGGAAAATTATTTAAAAATGTATCCTACAAGCAGCGGAAGAAGCTTTAGGTAAAATAAAAGTTAACAGAAATAAACGGGAATACGAAACTCCATGGTTCGACGAAAGGGTGAAAGCACTAGCAAATGAAAAAAAACAAGCTTTCCAAACATACAAAAGTGAAGACACCGGAGGCACGAGAAGACTACGTGAGAATCAGGAATAGAGCAAACCAAGAAATAGATAACATCAAAAAAGAACCCTGGCAGTAATTTAAAAAAGATATGGAATACGACCTCTATGAATCCCAGAAAAAGGTGTGGAAGATGATATGGAGACAAAAAAAAAAAGAAATAAATGAATGTGTACGCATAGATAACATTACGGAGGAACAATGGACTGAGCATTTCACGAAATTATATGAAGAAGGAGAAGGAGAGAACAGAGAAAGAATCATTAACGAAACTCACGATAGAGTACTAAGATCAGAAGAAGAGTTACAAGGTCCTGATAAGATACATAACGAACTGCTAAAATATGGAGAAACAACACTATGCAAATGGCTCCTAAATTATTCGTCGATATAATAAATACCGGAGTAGTACCAGCGGAATGGAAAAAGTCTCCTGCTACCGATACTTAAACAGAGAGACTCGAGAAATCCTGAAAATTATAGAGGCATTAGTCTGACGAATAGTATATTAAAATTGTTAACGACAGTTATAAAAGATAAAATCGAGGAAAAAGCGAACATGGCAGATGAACAACAAGGCTTCCGAAAAACCACAGCACAATAGACGCAATTTTTATTATCAGACAAATAATAGAGAAGTCTATTGAATATGGGAAACCAGCATACATGTGCTTTGTAGATTTAAAAAGTGCTTTTGACAGGATGAAGCAAAATAACAGCTTCAATTTCTTACAAGCTGAACAAATAGACCATCAGATAATAAGGACAATTAATGAAATTAACAAGAACAACAAGACCAGAGTTATAATGCCAACAGGAGAAACAGAATGCATAGAACTAAACGGAGGAATCCGCCAAGGAGATTCGCTCAGCCCATTGTTATTCAATATGGTGATGAATCAAATAATTCACGAAGTAAGAAAACGATACGGATACCACATGGGAGCGCATAAAATCGCAATACTATGCTATGCCGATGATGCAGTACTAACTGCTGATGACCTACAAAGGCAGCTCCACACATTCAATATCACAGCAAACAAACTTATTATGAGAATCTCAGTAAAAACAACTAAATGTATAGTGATCAGTAAAGAGCCGCGTAGATGCAAACTAGAAATAGACGGCAAAATTGTAGAACAAGTAATGAAATTCAACTACCTAAGAGTAGAGATCGCTAGTGACAGGAATATACGAACAGAGACCACAAGGCAAGCATCAAAAGCGGCAAGAGTAAATGGTTGCCTCCGAGAAACCATATGGAGAAACAAATATCTGACCACGAAAAGCAAAATGTAAGTATACAAGACAACAGTAAGACCAATCCTAACATATGCAGTGGGACAAGGACCGATACAAGAAAGACGAAACAACAAATCAACAAATCGAAATGAAAGTATTAAGATCAATAGCGGGCATATCATTAAGAGGCAGACAAACCAACAGAAGTATATGCGAACAATGCAAAATTCAAAATATTAACAGGTGGATAAAAACAAGAAAAAAAAAACTGGAATGAACATGTAAACCGAGTGGGACCAGATAGATTAGGGAACATCTGTAAAAACAACAAGACGTATAGCAGAAGACCCGTTGGAAGGCTGCAAAGAAGGTGGAAAGATAAAGTACAGTCAACAACGACTGAAACAGAATAAAAGGCAGACAAACAGGAGTAATCCTAGTCGCACGAAGAAGAAGACAACTTTCTTTTAAGTTTTTTTTTACAAAACTTATCGTTTTCGAGCGAAATTCAAAAGATCTCAAAATTTGACCTTTGACCTCGAATAACTTCACACATACGATCGATGGGGATTTTTAAAACTTTATTTGTAATGGTAAATGGGGTAAATTTTAGTTATTTTAAATGTCTACATATATTGACCGAAGTATAAATGCAACGATGTTCTATAATATGACATAATTTTACAAAAAAATCAAATGTAAGACTTACGTTAAGTTTTTGCAGTTGGTTATAACTCATATCTACATTCTGAAGATATTGTAAATGGCCAAGATCTGGAAAATCTTTAATTTGGTTTTGCCTTAAATTGAGTGTTTCTAGTGAGAGCAAAGAAGGAATAGGTGATGTCCCGGGTATATAAACTAAAGTCAACTTATTGTATGACAAATCTAACGTTTTTAGTTGGTTTAATTGAACAAATGCACGTGTATCGATATACTCTAGATTATTATGTCTTAATGTGAGTTTCGCCAAATTTTTTGTTCTTGAAAATACTTCCTTGGAGATATTAGTAATGCTATTAAAGTCTAGATTGATAGTCTCTAACGCAACTAAATCAGAAAATAAATTCTCGTTAAGAGACTTTATTAGATTTTTGCTTATATCTAATGTGTTCAATTTCTTTAAGCCCTTAAATACATTAGATGATAACTCTTGAATTTTGTTTTCTTGCAAATACAGTTTAGTTATTTGAGAAGAATTTGCAAAAATATTATCATTAAGAACAGCTGCGCCTGTATTCCTTATATTAATAATGGATAGTTCTGGAAAATCAGCAAATATTCGTTCTGGTAAAATCAAGAACGGATTATGCTCCAATCTGATACTAGCCAATTTTGTGTTATGCTTAAAAATCAGTGGATGAAGGTTACGTAGTTGGTTATGTCCCAGATTTATAGTTTTAAGTTGAGTGAGGTCAGCAAAACTGTCTTCTTCTATCTCACTGATGTGATTAACGCTCAATTCCAGAGAACCCAATCGTTTTAACACTTTAAAGTCATCTCTTGCGATACTGCTAATATTATTTCTCCACAAATGAAGCTGTACTAAGCCAGTTAAATTTTGAAACACATTTTTAGGCACTTTGGTAAACTGGTTTTTCACAATATGTAATATTTTTACCGTTGAAGGTATATAAAAATTTGGCAATTCTTTTATTACTTTACTGCTTTCTAAGTAAAATTCGGATAATTCTGGCAGATCTGTAAGTAAATCATCAGCTAGCTTATTCGATATGCGAGCTAGAGTTAAAACATTTAAATTAGTTAGCCCTTTAAAGATTTCTTTTGAAACAGTTTGTGCTGAAGAATTTAGTGGCAAGAAAAGTTCATCAAAATATAAAATTTTGACTGCTGTAATCCCAAATTTTTTTAATAGAGCTTGAAAATTGTCCTCCGGCCAAGGACAATATCTCATTCTAATGTAAGTTGTGTTTCCTGCAACGTAATTGGGCAATCGGTCAGTGTCAAAGTTTTTTATGCCATAGCAATCAATATGCAAATATTCGTCAGGTTGGGCATGGATTAAATAACTTTGAGGTGAGGAAGGTGGGCACTGATATTCGTAATCGGTTCCCGGATAACAGACGCACTTGCTACGATCGACATCCTCACATTGATCTCCTCTTACTGTTAGTAATGTTCCTAATATCAGTACTACGATCGTTAGCGGAACCATTTTTATCTGAAACAAAAAAAGTTGTCATTAAACATAATTTATAACATATTTTTATTAAAAAATGATCCGTTACAAAAGTTTCTTGTTTTTTCTTGTGTATCCAACTTAACATTTAGAAGTAAATTAGAAGCAATTTATGTTGAAAGAACTTTTAAATACTGCACATGAATTTTTTTCTTAATAGTGTTGGCCAGGTCCAGGAACCGCAAATATCGAAACACCGCGTTTACTATTCTGGAATAGATAACGGCAAACATGAATTACGGATCGGCATTATATTAGCAAAAGAAGTGGCAAAATCTGTTGACAACTTTATCCCAATCTGAGCAAGAATGATGCTCATTCAACTGAAAGCAATACCAATCGACATCAATATAATTCAAGCAGCACCTATAACAGAACAAACACAAAAAGAGTTAGAAGAACTATACCATAGCATTAATCAAGTCGAGAAAAGTTTGAAAAGGCAAGACCTAACAATTGTCATGGGTGCCTTCAACGCCAATGTTGGGCCAGTAAAACATCATCCGCAGTCGGACCATTTGGACTAGGAAACTGGAACGATCAGGGAGATACATCGGATATTTTTGCGGAAGCAAATCAATTAGTAATAATGAACGCTTGGTTTAAGCCACACTCAAGGAAATTGTACATAGTGTTGCCCAAATCGGTCTTGGTCTTGCAGTCTCCGTCTTGTTCTTGCGTTTTCGCAGCCGCAAGACCAAGACCGCCTAATTTTAGCAAGACCAAGACCAAGACTGACCGTGCAAGATTTAAGCAAGAACAAGACTAAGCCTGCGAGACTCTTGCGTTTTGCAGTTAGGACTGAGTGTCGTTTTAGCGAATATAGTAGTTCGGGTATATGCTTAAAGACTCTACGAGATGGAAAAAAATATGTAATAAAAATTTGAAAAAGTGGACTTATGCTCATTACGAACTATACCATAAACATAAATATATACCGAATGAAAATACATATTCATTAAAAAAACACATTTGACACGTGCTCAGGTCATAATTAGAATTAAAAATAAAATATTCTTTTCCAGCAGACGATTTCTTCGCTCTAAAATTAATTGTCCAGATTTTGAGAATAGCCGCCATCTAATCATAAAATAATCTTTTTGCATTGCAACGTCAACAGTAATATCGTATCGAATTTTTTAAAAATATGTCAGTATATGTATGACCTTAGCTAACAACACTTATTGTTACGGACACCCACTTAATAATTCAATTTTTTCCCATTATAATTTAGTTAGGAGGAATCTAAATAAACGAATCTTATAGGTCTAAGACATTGTTTTCTGCTGAGTGTGCGATTAGATCATTCGGTTAAACAAAATTTGCTGAAAGAGCGCGGCTAATATTAAATAATATACTATTTACGGATAATAAAAAGTAACGAGACAAATTAATAACAGATAATGTCGCCTACCGTGTAAACAAAATACCGAAATATTTAGAATAACGAAGTAACGATATATAATTCTCGGTTTTTTATTAGATAATTAGGTATTGGATAGTAGTAACTTAACTTATAGTAGTAGTTACTTTTTCGACAACACTAAACTTCATTCCAAATTGAAGTTTACTATTTGACATGAGGGACAAAGATTCAAATAGTTCACTGTGGGAGTAGTGAGCGTTGGAATTATAGATCTAAAAGACCTAAAAGCAAATTTGGTAAGTTTTTCGAAATAATTCATGCATCCCAAATTGCTTTGTGTAAATTGTGCCTACATAGAAAGGTTGAAATGAAAATTAAAAACAGATACACGTCAGTTTTAAGGAAGCATCTAATATCTTTTCACAAAAATAATTTACAAATATTTCTTCCTGAAAAACCAAAATTCGGTGAAGATACCACAAGCTTTTTAATAGACGCTGGAAAAAGTGGACATGTAAAAAAATATACTTATTACCTTCTTACCATTTACATATATTATGTATACAACTTTATTTTGGTAAATTAATGTATTTATTAAGTAGATATCTACTTAATTTAAAATAACTTCTTTTAATTATCATTAATTTTTTACCCATTCTTTATTTTTTCAAAGTTTTTTTTTTATATAAAAGTAGAGCTAAGATTGTTAACAACATTTATGGTGCTTTAAAATAAGTGGATTATAGTTTGTTATCTTATCACCTAAAGAATCTGTGCCCTTGATACATGTACGCGGATTTTTTGCCACATACCAATCTTTTTTAAGATTTCCATTTCATATGGTGGGGGGTCCATCAATCCCTTTCTAGGCAGATAATGTTCTTTAAAATACAGTTTAGTTTATGTCATTAATTTGTTTTTTTTTTGTGTTTTAATCATGTTTCAGCATATGTAAGCAACGCAAACGTTTAATAAGAAACATATTGACTTCCGTGGGGCATGGTAGATCGCTGAGTTAGGGTCGCGGCTTCGGATCCTAGCCGGTGTCAGTTGTTTAGACATTTATTAATTTGGTTGGTCTTTATTACGGCTATGTTAATTGAAGCTTAAAATGTACATACTTGCTCTGTTACGTTGCTCTAAGATCTAAAGTAACGTTTAATAAATAGCAATAGACTAATGGGTAACAGCAAGACTTGCAACACTCTTGCTGCAAGACCAAGACTAAGACCAAGACCGAGAGTGCAATACCAAGACCAAGACCAGGTGTATTGGCGCAAGACCAAAACTGTCTAAGTCTAGTCTTTTTCTTGCATTTGGGCAACACTAATTGTACACCTTGAAATCTCCACCGGATTCTGTAAGAAGGATTGTAAGGAATCAGATTTATTACATGCTGTGTATTACATCTGTCAAAACATACCCGGGGACAGACATAAATTCTGATCATGTACCAGTTTAGTTAATTTCAAAGTCAGAATGAAGAAGGTTACAATTAAGTCAATAATGTTAGAAAACTGAAAGATCATAATGTTCGATTGAAGTTGGGTGAAAACCTCAACACAAAGGTACTAAAATTCAGAAATTCAGAAACTATATAAGAAAGTCTGACCATCATACAAGAAACAGTGAGAGAAATATGGGTGAACGATGAAATACTTGAACTTATGTATCAGAGAAAGAGAATACGCACCATCGTCAGAAGAAAGATAAGAGAGGCCAAAGAGAAACAAAAACAGAATGTCAAGAAATAGAGGAGTATCAGTGTCGATATGATAACTTCAATGTTCATCGAAAAGTGAAGGAAATAGCTAGAAAGTTCCGAAAACGCAACAGAAGAAAAATAACACATGATGAAGGCAATCTTGCCATAACTAAAGAAGATAAAAGAAGTATGGGAAGAATACTTAAAGAAACTTTGCGACGACCTTAGAACAATACAAGAACCCACAATTGAAGGAAATTCAGGTCCTGAAATCATACCAGAAGAAATAACAGCAGCCGCCAGACAAATGAAGGATGGAAAGGCGCCGTGACTTGCTGAAATTCCTGCAGAACTGTTGAAGCTATTAGATAAAAACAAATAAAAATAATAACTGAAATATTTAATGAAATATACAAGGCCGGAAAAATAGAAGTAGGTATAGTGGCTCAAATCGGAGTTCGTACCAATGTCCAAAAAAAAAACAGGAGCAAAAGTTTATGACGACTATAGGACCATATGCCTAATGAGCCATCTACTTAAGCTTTTTTTAAAAGTCATTCACAAAAGAATTTACCGAAATGCGAGGAACAAATTGCGCCCAATCAGTTTGGATTTGTGAACGCTGTTGGTACGAGGGAAGCTTTATTTAGAGTGCAGGTATTGTTTTAGAAATATAGAGATGTCAGCTGTGAGGTTTCTGCATGCCTGGTTGACTACAAGAAGACTTTCAATAGAGTCAGGCATGAACAAATGACGAAAGTGCTGAAGAGGACAGGGATTGATGGAAGAGACCTAAAGATAATAGCTAACCTGTATTGTAATCAATCAGCGGTGCCCTGAATGAATGAGAATATACAGATCAGGTCAAAATCTTAAGTTAATGTGACAGAGGTGCATAATTTCACACTGATATTCAATTTGTACTCGGAGCACATTTTTGAAGAGGCGCTAAAAGATATTGATGAAGGCATCTCAATAAATGGTGTCAAGCTCAATAACCTGCGGTATGCGCATGATCAATAGTGTTTTCCAATACCATAGAAGTGCTGCAAAACTTAATGAACAAAAAAACGGAAACAAGGAGAACATTTACAGATTACGACTGGCCACAAAACTACAAAATGTGGATCGAGAAATGTATCAGCGGAAGAGTTTTATACCAGCAACTTAAAAAATGCATTCATGAGGCTGCAAGTGAAGCTTTGGCTTATAAAGACTAACATGAAACAAAAAATCAAGAATGGTGGTCGGAGAATATGCGAGCGAATAAAAATCTAACTTAAAGTTAATAGATCTGAAACAGTGGAAACACCATTATGAGGTCTTACTGACAGAGGATAAATGTAGATTCCAAGAGATGGAAATGGAAGAAATATCCGAACACACACAAATAATTGAGATAACAACCGGAGAGTTGCCCTCAAAAGATCGAAAAACGGCAAAGCAGCAGGATCTGGAGACATTCCAATTGAGTTGGTAAAGTATGGACCAAAAATATTACACGAGATCTTGGTTCAACTATTTAACAAATGCAAAGGACAAAATATCCCTGACGATTGGAATATTGGATACATCAGCTCAATATTCAAGAAAGGAGATAAACGCAAATGCTCTAATTATTTTTCGCAGATGATCAGGTTGTCGTAGCGAATGATGAGGAAGACATGGACTACATGTTTAGAAAACTAAATATAGAATATATGAAAAATGGGGCCTCAATATGAATATGTCAAAGACAGAGTATCTTACAGTACGAGATGACGAAGAAGATCCAGAGTTAGAAATTAAAACACAAAAACATGCAATGAATATAAATATCTCGGATCTATAATATCTAAAGAAGGCACTACCAAAAGAGACATCGAAAACAGAACGCAGCAGGAAAAAGTTGGTAGAGACTATTATGACTTA